TGTGCAGTTAGAGTAGACTGGCTATGTACAACCCTTGGGAGAAATGAAAAAATAGCCACTGAAATAATTTTCTGTATGGCGAATTCTCTTGCAAACTGTTGTTGAGAAAGGCTGTGGGATCTAGAAAACCATCTTGCAATTGATGTCAACTGATCCCTTTGGAACCTGAGAGATGTGTCTCTGGAAATGATGGGCTGCGATACCCCTTTAATTCCTATTTAATATTTTCAGTTTGTGACCTCTGCAATTTCACTGTGTACTAGCCTCTGAAGTTGGGTTGAAAGCACACACTGCTGCCTCCTCTGCTCTCCTTCTAATTCCCTAATGTACCACACTTAATTAATGTTAACTGTATTTTTAAACAAATCTAACCTCATGAATAGTTGTAATCTTTGTTCAGTGGATGGGAAACTAATGGCTAGAACACTAAAGATATTTATTGATGGGGGGGCTCATGTAATTTCTGAGAGAAAAATCAGTGGTCAGAAGATTAATGACTCAAGCTCAATAGCAAAGCATGTAGGGTCCAGGCTGCACGCACAGATTGGGCCTTCAGAGTCACTTCTGGGTTACATAAGATGGGATTAATTCTGAGATTGGGGAAAAACACAGTTCACTTGTCTCTCCACATTTTTCTCTCCATGTTTTTACTTCCTGCAAGACTTATGGTCTTTCCCTTGTACTTTAATATGTTTTCCATGGGGACTTAGAGATGAAAGAAGAAAAAGTTAAAACTTAAGCTTGTTGGTTTAGATTCTGGTTAACTCTTCAAATAATAAACTTGAGTGAAGTCTGAAACCACAGAATGAAGTCAGCTCTTGTATTATTTGTGAACCTTATTTATTCTTTTTTCTATTTCCAGGGAGCACAAATAACGGATTGCTGGTTTTACTTTTAGAAAAATGTATATTTTTTTTCCATTCATTAGATAATGATCATTTTATTTGGATTAATAAATGCAGAGGTAACATTTTGAATCCATCTGTGTATTTCATCACTTTTATGAGTGCCCAAAATATAAAGGTTTTCTCAAAAATAAGTGCTTCTGAAGTCCCGTCCTTTCTTACCAAATCAGAGCAAAGAGAAATAAAGTACTTCAGTCTTTTATCAGCTAAAATGCTGACAGATGGAAAATAACAAAGATTAGACTGTTTTCCTGGCTATTGTAAGGAAAAATAAAATGTTTACTTGTTGGAAACACTATACCTTTCTTCCAGTCTCTCTTTCTCCCCTATCTTCTTGTTTCCCTTGACAGACTCTTTCTCTTATCTGAGCAAACTTTTCTGTTTGCTTGACTCTTATTCTCTGAGTGAACAGCAGACTGACACATTAGCTCCAGGGTTGGGTTCTGACTGTGTCAAGAGTAGAAGTCTGACATGCCATTTTATGCATCATATTTCTCCAATTATTAACTCTCCTTTACTGCCCTTTAAATACTTCACAAAATGGAAACCCCTTTTGAATAAAAACAGCTGATTCTCTGGGAGTTGCCTGAGGAAGCTATGGAGAGATTCTGGGTTTCTTTGTTTAGTATGTGGCTGTTGGAAAGTTGCTATTAGATCCAGAGAACTTTTTTGTTAAGTGTGATTAGCATTCAAAGAAAATGTTTATTTCTTACATCCTTCTATTGAAAAAAAAATAAGGTGTCTATATTTATATATTTATAGTAAAATTCAGAAGGCAAGTATTTATTTAAACCTATATTAACTGCACACATAAAAACAGAAGGCATTTGTGATGGGTAAATTTCAAAAGGTCTAAGATTTGTAATAAACACTCCGACTTCGTATACTTATTCAAACTCCTTCATCGAGAAATCGGGATGGGTTGCTATGAGAACAGAATTTCTTAAGAAAGTTCCTACACCTTCAAGTTTCTGGAAAACTCAGAACTTACTCACCCAATTTACTATTGCTCTGGCTACAAATCAAAAATGATAGAACACTTTAAGTAAAAGATGGTAAATTTGTTACTATGTTGAAAAAAATATTTTATGTTTGATGAGAATATCACTGAATAAATATCTCATTTATCTGAAATAGTTTGTCTATCCTTATAGGCAAATATGAATGGCAGAAATCTTATGTTCAGTGTAATATCACTGTTATACAGTAATGATGAGAAATACAGTTACTTTTGAAGCATTATTTTTTTGAGACAGCCTCCTCTGTTGCCCAGGTTCAAGTGCAGTGGCACAATCTCTGCTCATTGCAACCCCTGCCTCCTAGGTTCAAGCAATTCTTATACCTCAGTCTCCAGAGTAGCTGGAACTACAGCCATGGACAACCACACCCAGCTAATTTTTGTGTTTTTAGAGACAGGGTTCGCCATGTTGGCCAGGCTAGTCTTGAACTCCTGGCCTCAAGTGATCCACCTGTCTTGACCTCCCATAGTGCTGATGTGAGCCACTACACCCAGCCTTCTGAAGGATGTGGGCTTGCCTTGGTAGATTAGTTATGCCTTGGGTAACAAAATAATAGCCTGGGGTTTTGGCTGTTATTTCTTTTCTTCTTCTTCTTCTTCTTTTTTTTTTTTTTTTTTTTTTTTTTTTTTTTTTTTTTTTTTTTTTTTTTGCTTGTTTTTGAGATGGAGTTTCGCTTTTGTTGACCTTACTGGAGTGCAGTGGCATGATCTCAGCTCGCTGCAACCTCTGCCTCCTGGGTTCAAGCAATTCTCCTGCCTCAGCCTCCTGAGTAGCTGGGATTACAGGTGTGCGGGACCAGACCCGGCTAATTTTTATATTTTTAATAGAGACGGGGTTTCATCGTGTTGACCAGGCTGGTCTCTAACTCTTGAGCTCAGGTGACCCACCCACCATGGCTTCCCAAACCGCTGGGATTATAGGCGTGAGCCACCGATCCTGGTCTTTGGCAGTTATTTCATAAACATGTCAGGGAGATTTTATTTTACATGTCCTCTTTACTATCTAGTTTCACAAGGTCTTTAAATTTTTAATTTTTTGAGATAGGGGTCTTGCTCTGTCACCCAGGCTGGAGCTCACTGCAGCCTCAAACTCCTGGGCTCAAGCGATCCTCCCGCCTCAGCCTTGTGAGTAGCTTGGACTATAAGCACGCCCACAGCACCTGGCTCACCTGACAATATTTCTAATTATGAAGTGCTTCCCATTTCCAATCAATGGAGTAATACAGGTAAGATGGGCTAAAAGAGTGAATGGAGCCTTATCCAAGTATTTGGAACCATGTAGTAGAATTTTCTGCTTTTCTGAAAAACCATATCAGTAAACTTAAAAGTGCAAGGCTCCCAAAATGCTTTGCAATAATAATAGCTAGCCTTATTCAGCAATGATCCTAGGCATGGAGTTACACATTTTACTTATGCTATCTCTCATCCATTCATCAACCCAGCAAAGATTTTCTAAAATTCCATTTTGTTCAGGGAGAACACCAAGGCTCAGGGAAATTAAGTAATTTGCCCAAGGTCATATAATAAGGAAAGGTTGGAGCAGACGCAAAGTCCATTCTCTGTTCTCTCTAACTAAGTAAGCCTTTAAAATTTTTAGTACTCTGATCCAGGGTGACTACTTGATTAACTTTGTAAACATTCTGTTTACACTAGTATGCCTATCTCTGTATGGTAGAAAAACATCTTTTTTTTTTTTCTTGAGATAGAGTCTCACTCAGTCACCCAGGCTGGAGTGCAATACTGTGATCTCAGCTCACTGCAATCTCTGCCCCCTGGGTTCAAGGGATTCTCCTGCCTCAGCCTCCCAAGTAGCTGGGATTACAGGTGCCTGCCACTGCACTAGGCTAATTTTTTGTATTTTTAGTAGAGATGGGGTTTCACCATCCTGGTCAGGCTGGTCTTGAGCTTCTGACCTAGTCATCCGTCCTCCTCGGTCTCTCAAAGTGCTGAGATTACAAGCATGAGCCATGGCGGCCGGCCAAAAAACATCTTTTTTGAATCTTTCTTGAGAGTGAGCATTATAGGGCAAGGGTAAGGGCAGTGAAGTGAGTCCCTAACATGACTGAAACTCAGTGGCAGTGGAGACCTAAGCTATGGTTCTTATGAGATGCAGTTAGTATCTCCGGCTGTACTGTGGATTCCTTCCTGTCACTATAATGCTGCCAGCATTGAGTGTGATGGTTTACTATCTATAAGATTTAAAAATAACAGGCCAGGCATGGTGCCTCATGCTTATAATGCCAGTGCTTTGGGAGGCTGAGGCAGAGGATCCCTTGAGTCCAGGAATTGGAGACCAGCCTAGGCAACATATAGAGATCTTGGTTCTACAAAAAATTTTTTAAAATTACCTGGGTGTGATGACACATGCTTGTAGTCACAGCTACTGGGGAGGCTGAAGCAGGAGAATCACCTGAGCCTAGGTATTGAAGGTTGCAATGAGCTATAATCACACCACTGTACTCCAGCCTCGGTGACAAAGCAAGACTCTCTCTCTCTCTCTCTCAAATTAAAAAATATATACATATATACACATATATATGTGTATATATATATGTATGTACATACATGTATGTGTGTGTGTATATATATATAAAATAGAAAACTTTCAACTTTTAGGATGAATAAAGGGCACAGAATGACAATTTTTCCTGGATGCTTACACATTAAGGATTTACATAGTATTGGGACCAGAGAGTTACAAAAACTCATGTCTTTGTAAACTATGTCGCTTCAGAGAATGTACACATTTGTGTTTTAAAGTTTACTGAGGCGATGCTAATATTTCCATTTGATATAAACATTTCAAAATTTCTGCTATAAATCTGTACAAATATATAGCGTTTTTCCCTCCACTTATTTCAGATACAGAAACAATAACACAGTTAATTACAGCTTTTCATTATCGTTTGTTAGGAGAATTAAGACATAAATTATCACGTGTGCTGCAAGACCAAAAAAAAGTGATTAAAATTTATTGGTTTTTTGTTTTATCTTACCAAATTGTAACACATGTACTTTTCTTCTTTCTCTGTGTTCTATTTCACTATTATAACCACTTTGGCCATTTATTATTAGTATTTTTGTATAATCCATTGCAGCTAGAATACTGTGTAGCTCATAACAGATATTTTGGATAATGCTGAGTCACAGAAATGTGGTGAAGCCATTTCCTGAGTATTGATTTTATTAATGATTATTATCATCATGTTTAATCAGTAAGTGATTTTTTTGATTATCCCCTCCTCTTGTTTACTGTGGATAAGTAGTTCCCATGATTCCTCTGTCTTCTTAGCAAGAAATATCTGTGGCTATGAGATCATAGCTAAACAGCTTCAATTCTATGCTCTTCTTCTGAGCAATTTTTCTTCTTTTCAGACTTCTTCCTTTTCTTTTCCTTTATTTCATGTTCTTCCTCTACAATAAAAACAAATTTAGAAAAAAGAATGTAAATTCACCATTTGGAAAAAGTAGAAATTAACTTTGATTATAAGGAGACTTGGCTGCTCACTAAATTAGCTTTTCCTATTGGCTAGGAAAGGGATTAGACCTAGGGAAAGGGGACAGAGCAAGGACAAGAGGACATCTGCCCACTGAGAAGAGACTAGTGAACACTCGTTTCTTCCTAGGTAACATTTTGGTTCAATATCACAAAGGCTAATGACATCTCTTGTAAGATGTGAACTGCCTCTGAATTAAGAGGCACTAAGATTATAAATAGTAAGAACGCTAAGATTGATGTCAAAATTAATGGCACGGGAGAAACATGTCACACAGAAAGACAGAGAAAGCTGTAGAGGGCTGGGTGCTTAAGACAACTGGTGATAGATTTGGGGAGCCCACTCTCCACAGACTGGAAGCCTGAGGGGTACTGTCACTTGTTCTGGTAACCCATCCCCATCTGTTCTGGGGTCCCTTGACCTAGTGTGTGAGCTCTGGAGATGCCATTTCTTAGGCACTAGTTAATATTTTCTGAAATAAATAAGTTAAACAAGCTGGGCGTGGTGGCTCACGCCTGTCATCCCAGCACTTTGTGAGGCTGAGGCAGGCAGATTACTTGAGCCCAGGAGTTTAAAACCAGCCTGGCCAACATAACAAAATCCAGTTTCTACTAAAAATACAAAAATCATCCAGGCTTGTTGGTGCGTCTGTAATCCCAGCTACTTAGGAGACTGAGGCAGGAGAATTGCTTGAAACAGGGAGGCAGAGGTTGCAGTGAGCTGAGATCGCGCCACTGCACTCCAGCCTCGGTGACAGAGAGAGACTTTGTCAAA